AAGCTCCTCATTATGCAGTTTTCTCCAACCTCCTGTAAATTGTTAAAAAAAAAAAATATATATATATATATATACATTTTGTGTTTACGCTACATGTTTCAGCCACATAGGGCCATCCTCAGGCAACACAACTTTTAAAGGACTCTACTGCACTGATGAATACTATCTGACCAAGTGCAGAGTGCAGTAGAGTCCTTTAAAAGTTGTGTTGCCTGAAGATGGCCCTATGTGGCTGAAACATGTAGCATAAACACAAAATGTATATATACTTTAATAATTTAACGACATTTTAAATATTTTATGAACATATAGTGAATTAAATGTGAATTAATATTGTTGCAATATAGACGGAAAACAGGGCTATAAATTATACCTCAATGCAACAGGATGCTGAAATATAATATTAGGGGTAAAAACGTTTATTCCTTTCTTCAACTCCCTTGTATTTGTTCCAGAAATGTCAGCAACACTTTAAAATGTCTTGATAATTTCTACTCACTTCACAGAAATAAAAAATGGTTGTGTTCTATATAAAAATCACCACACAGAATCCAAGTGAACTGACATACTGGTATTTCACTGAGACTCTGTACACATATCTTCACCTCCTACAGATCCCTGGATATCTTGTTATGTCTGTGTATCTTACAAGAAACAGATAGCTGTAAATTTGTGATCACCTTCAACAAAACTGTCCTTATTAAACCTTATAAATCTGAAATTCATCTGACATTAAAAAAAAAAGTCCATACGTACACAGAAAACACAATGTCCCCATTATAAATATCAACACCATGACGAAAAACTAAACAATTTCAAGCCTGAAATTCATTTAAAAAACATTTAGAAATTTAGTTCCTACCTCACAAGAAACAAACTGTATCTCTGTTACAAACACTAACTGGTGAATGCTGTTTAAGCAACAGATCTGTTTGTTCTGAGAATCATTTGAAACCCATAAATACACTGTGTGGGCAGAATGCAGTTTCCTAATGTTACAGCAAATGGATTTGTGATTCCCCTAGTGCTGGCTGTGCAGAGTACTATCTTCAGGGATGTGACGCCGTGTAGCCTGGTGGAAGTTCAATGACATTTCACAAGAATGTACTGTCTGCATCTTCTGGGTCAGTGAGTAAGCCAGACGAGCTAACTGCAAGAAGCAAGCAGCTTGCTCATGGCCGTATTCCTCAAAGCAGGTGGTACATATAGCAACGACTGTGCTTTATAGGGATAATATTATTAATACATTTATAAAGTAATTGTATTCCATCAAAAATACTGGATAGTTTGTTTTGATTTGTAAATTGGTATACTAGAATCTTCCAAGTTACATATAAGTCACATGATCATTTTTCTAATGATACAAATAATTATACAATATCCACAACAATATTCTTAAACATATTGATAAATTACTACAAATGGAAACAAATTTTGTGGAATAATGGATGGATTTTGATTCTGAACCATTTTAAAAGAAATTCATTAATTCATGTATTTGTCCATATGTCTGCAAGAATTCTACCTCTAATGCTTACATAAATTCAAACATCTTATTGCAACCAGAATCCATTGCAAATTTAAAAATAATATCAGAATGCATTTACTGACAAATAACTGCTGCAAAGATCATATTTAAAAGCTATGAGCACTCAAACTGGCATAAATGAGCATGTAACATCCTGATTTCATGCTGTACACCCAAAGATATTACGAAATTTACTCCATACTATTGCCAGTATGTATGGTAACCATGGCTGACAAAGTGATGTGCAAGAGTTGTGGTAGGGTTTTGGGTGCAATTCGAATCCTCATTCCCAATATGTTTTACATTACATAAGAAAATTCTAACTTCATAATTTTGGTGTTACTCCTTCTTTAAAATATTAGCAGCTCTGTATATTGTGATAATGACCTTCTTAAGAACATTTTTCTTCATACGCACGTGTCCAGTGATGTGGTGAGGAGTAAGTGGGGGGGGGGATGACCAAATTTAATAAAACAGTATCTCATATACACATATCACATATATAGGTTAGGTTAGGTACTGACACCAAATGTAACGTGTTTTGCCTCTGAAGACGCCGTTCAGATTGTTAATTGGTTTATTTAACAACCTACAAATCGTAACTGCAATTCATTATGACAAGGTTGCGGGTTTGCACACTTTACAAACCCTACTCACAAGTCTCTTCACACTACCAAGATTCACTCGTTTTATATATATATGTGTGTGTGTGTGTGTGTGTGTGTGTGTGTGTGTGTGAGCAATAGTTTTCTGTGATGTACTGTCAACATGTTGAGGCACGCAGCAACACAGTTGGTTGAGGCACACTTCTACAAGCTGGAAGGTCACGAGTTAAATTCCCCATGAGGTCACTGGATTTTTCAAGTGACCTAATCCTTCCAGCTGCACTATGGCCTTGGGGTCAACTCAGCCTCTAACAGAAATGAGTACCAGGAATCTTCCTGGGGGTAAAGGACCAGTAGCATGTAAGGCTGACAACCTCACTGCCATCTATGCGCCAATTGTCTAGAAAATGTCACAGCCTTGGCATCTCACAACCCTATGGGCCTCCATGGCCTGTTATGGGGGATATCTTCAGCTCTTTTTTTCCCACCTTTTATTGTCAACATGTCAGTTTCATACAGTACATATGTGAGGGCATGTTACAGCAACACACACCTAGAGCACTGTTAGAAGAGATTTTATTTAATGGACTACTGAACAGTAACCGTAAAAAGAATCTTAAGAAAACTGGACTTATTTGCAATAATCAGTATTGGTTCTAGCACTGTGTTCTGCATTAATGTTAATAAATTTTCAGGTGCAAATATTTTACTGGATTGTTACTTGGTTGGTTGGCTGGTGATTCACTAAAATATTAATTTTATGCCTACAAAGCATGTCTCAAAATATTTTGTACTATCTGGTGGGATACAGCTTCATCTAGAAGTTCTTCATAAAATCTATCTCATTTCGTGTAACAATTCATGAGTATGAGGTCAGTTTCAAAATTTCTGAGTACTGGATGAGCTTGTAGCATGAAATACTTAAGTTTAAAGAAGAAAGAGGTAATAAACTGCTCTCTCACTGGCCCAACTTCAAACAAAAATAACACTGCTCTGTAAACAGCGAAAAAAAGAAAGAAACAAAAAGAAACTCACTGAAAATTTATACAACAGGATATATTTCTGTTCACAGATAAATAATATTCTACCCTGAAAAATCTTGGAAAAGTAGCATTGGATATGGTGGTGATGGGTGTAATAGAAGTAACTGTGGTAACAACAAGAATGAAATGTTAAAGCTCTCTCACTTCCAGCGCTCAATTATCTCAGCACAGAAGTCAAAGCAGAGAGAAACTTACATTGGAACCTCTTAAAGTTTTATTCCTAGAAGAATCTTAAGCATGCTGAAAAATTTCCACTTCCAAATAAAGCAAACAGAAGTAAATGACACAGTTATTGACCTCTTTGGACATTATCCATCATCCTGTTTTGATTTAAAACAATGTATCACTGACTGGACTCTGCCTCCATCCTCAGGTAGAAAGCCAAGTCAGTTGGGCCTAATCACCAGAGTCTGGAGTCCAGAAATAGGGACTGGTTCTACTGATTGGGCCCAACTGAGCAGGCTTGTTACATGAGGACAGAGACAGACTCCTATCTGTGATACAGTGTTTTAAATCAAAAAAGGATGATGGATAATATCCAGAAAGTCAACACCTCTATTACTATACCTTCCTCACAAACTTTTTACATCTTACTTACAAGTAAATAGGTCATATTTGTTGTTACCAATCTTACTAACACCAGCAGTACATCTACAACACAATTACCTTCTTTCCAACATTCATCCAACCATTCATTTATTTATTCATCCATTCATTACAATAAGGACACTCTTCATTGGGTGCAGGGTCTTGGAAACTCTCCCATAGATCATTTTGAAATGTGGCCATAAACTGCACATTTTCTTGTTTCATTTTAATTTTCTCCTTCCTGTCTTTCAATCCTTTCCAATCCCCCTACCCTGTGTCTATTTTGGGTTACTTCTAGAGATGGATTTTGCTTGTGATTATTGCTCCAATGTGAATTAATCAAATACTATCATTACATTACTATATTAATAGACTCTGAACTCACTGCAAACTTATTCTTTCTCACTGTCAAAAATTACTGAATTTGTTTCAGTAACAATTATGTCATCCAACATGATAATGTAAGCCACAAGTTATCTAAATAAGAAGAAAAATGAGTTCCCACAACCTAAACAATTACATTTGGTATTAATCATAGGTAATTAATACTGCATTTCATAAATATAGAATAAGCTATCTTCTAAAACACTAGTGACTGAAGAAAATTAGGTTATTCCTTCCTTGGTGGCCAAATACAGTGTAACACTTCAAATTATCCTGCAACACAACTGACTATTCTGTTATTGTTTACCATACATAAATAAAATTCGCTATATTTGTAAAAATGTTCAAGGTTATTACCATATTTCTTCGAAGTCTATTTATGCTTAAAATATACTCAAACACACAAAAACTTACTTCACTTCAGGTTTAAAAGAAATAAATAAGTACTGCACTGTAAATAATTATGCCCATAGTTGTGCACCATAATGTCATGGTAATATGCAACATTCACTGTCAAACCGGTCATTGTCACCATGTGCACATCCAACACGTTCTATATTAATCCCACTGTCACTGCTCTTTATAATCGTTTAAATCGTGAACAAGAGTAAACAATGTTCCCTTACAATGAATTAAAAGTGCAAACTAAATATTCACAGTTCATTTAGAAACACGTAAACGAAGGCTGAACGTCTAAACTATCGATCACCAAGTATAATCGCACACGGCCATATTGCTTACCCATGATTCTTTTCTATAGGTGTGACATGCGCAACCAGCATGCAATTAATATGTGAATAATTAATTAGTACAATAAAAATATCCCTTCTTCATTTGAGTACATTTTTCGTTGCCAGACTGTGGTGATATCACGTTGCTGCTCACCTTCCGTTACTATCCTCACGAAACTCAGAGAGGAAACCTAAAATGTCAGCCAGCTCCCGCTAACGTTCGAGTCAGCTGTGCAGCGGGAAGCAGTGCTTTTGCTGGAGGGAGGCGTGGGCAGTCTGGCAGTCGGGGAGGTAAGGTCGCTCTGTAACATGCATGCAGCCATTTTTATTAGTTCGTGTGTATGTGTGTGTGTGTGTGTGTGCGCGGAGTCGTCGCGTGGTAATTAGGCTTGTGTAATTTGACAGCAGAGGTGCCGTTTTGACAGTGACCTGTGTAAAACGCAGTGTTATTTGTGCATGTGCTTCCCATACACAAGGTAAAGACTGCCACAATTTCCGTATAATGATTAAAACTCAAGTATGTTTGTATGTAAAGTGATTATGTAAAATAATATATTTTAAATGTAGTGTAACTTAACTTTAAAGAAAATCCTCCTGCCGATATTGTCAATAGCGAGTTTTAAGTAATGCTCAGAAAGACAACGAAAGCTCGAAACTTTCGGCTGAAGTGAAATCAGAGGCAGCACATAAAGCACAATGTTATGACTGTGAAGCTGGAGGGGCAAGCTGGCTGACAGCTACTGTAGGGGTTTCCAAGGAGAACGCCATGCTATGATGGTATTTTGGGAGTGTGGTGGTCTGCGAAGTGTGGCTGCATTACCAGCCACAGGAGAGGAAAGTTTAGAGGTCTATATTTGGATCCTAGCTACGCGTTTTGAAGGAGAGGGTCCGTGTCTGATGGTGAAGTTATTAAGGATATAAAAAATGTTGATAAGTGGTGCACCGAACGCGAAATGCGTGGTATTATCACTGGAGTTTTCTTTGGATTTGGTTACCACTGTCTTTTTAAGAGCCGAATGTGCTAGGACCGACAAACAGTTGCATGGGCGGTGGATCACAAGGACAAGTACGAATCCAAAAGACAGCTGACTTCACACTGCCACGAACACCACGTGGTCATCGGACTGGTTGACCACGAGACTACAGAAGGGGGGGGGGGAGTTCGGGTTAGTTTCAAGCTGCAAGGCAACAAGAGGGTGAGAGGGGTCAATGAATCCTTCCCTCCAGTCAGTTCTGTGGTCCATACGAATCAATGTAGCTCCTGGAAATTTTATTAGACCAAAGGCTGGGGGGGAACTGGGCTTACCACAAAGTGCGAAATTCCGTTACCAAATGCACATCGGGTTTAGTTGTTTTGTTTGTCGACCCGCGGCTAATGTCAGAGATGCAGCAACAAATAGGAATGTTCATAGTGCGGAGTACCGGATACAAAACATGTAGGATCCGATGCCACAACCCGGTGGTCTGCCCCCTCTCACGATAGCAAGGCTTGGTGACAAGCAACAATTAATTGTACATGGGACTGCGCAGGTCTGGTTCCCATAATGTGGCAGGAAATCCTCCAGTATTCGACTCCGAACTCAAAAGCCTGCGTTACGGAACCCAAAGACTGTACAGCAGACAGGACCGTTATGATCGTCTGAGTTATGACACCGTATAACCTGGTAGGTAGGTGCTGACTGCTTGGAGGAACATCTCTCCATCTTCAGGGTGGAAGTGATTCCTTGGATATCTGTTCTACTGATTATGTGTATAATTGCCTCCCTGTGGAAGTCGCCATCTTTCGAATCTGAAACGGTAAGGTTCCTGTTTCGGTCTCCTGAGTTATGAGATCGTACAGTCGCGTAGGTGGGTACAAACGTTTCGGAGGTGTATACTCCCTTCGTCTTCAGGGTATAAGTGACATTAAGGACTTTTAATCTAAGTACGGAATCCGTGTACAGTTGCCTCCTCCCCTTAGAGAGACCATGAGTACGGAATTTCATCCGGTGAGCATCCATGTTGTGGACTTCTGATCTGACTCCATGCAGTCGGATAGGTTGCTACCAGTGTTTTCGAGGAACAAACTGTCTTCACATTCAGAGTAGAAGTGAGGCTAGAGGCAGTATGTCATTCCGAAACGTCGGAGCCTACAGACCAGACTGTACAGGGTTACAACGCAGAAGGCTACAGTATGACTCCAACGTCGTTAGGGCCACTTGTCGCCTCATGCAACAGGCCTGTTCGCAGGATAGGCCTTGCCTACCGAATTATCTGTTGACACGTGAAACCGTCAGTGCACTGATCTATCTGTGACATCAACCAATTGGCGGCACTCTTATGCTGTAGCAGCAAAAAAAAGTTTCGTGGCGTGGGGTGAGACTGAGTCTACTTGGTACGTCGGCCACTGTTGGGCCTATTGTAACAGCCCCGGATGATAGACTCAGTCAGGGGAATGAGAATTGGCAGGGGAAATCGAAGTACACGGAGGAAACCTGCCCCAATGCCACTTTGTCCACCACAAATCCCACATGACCCGCGGTGGGAAGCCTGCGACTCAGCTCCTGACCTAGGGTACAGCCATACAGTAGCAAAATGAGAGTACTTCTGCATTTATACCGGTAATGTACGAGTGTTTTGAACCTTTCTGGGTTCCGCTCATAAAACAAGTGACTCCATTTGCGTATGTTAAGTTGTATTAAGTTTACAATGAGCTCAGAGTCACATGCGAGCCAGTCATAATCATTCAGCTTTGGGAAACGTAATTTCTTCTAAATGCACGTGACGACCGCCGACGACAGAAGGGTTGCTTCTAGTAGATACAGCTACCAGCATAGTTACTACTACCTGCAGCCTGCAACTGTAGCGATCTATCGGCACACTGTGTTACCATAATTTCATGCAGCATTATTAAAATTTTGTCGTGTCTGTGGCGCCTTCAGCATCTCGGACTATACTCATGCAGCAGCAAATGGTAGGACTTTTGTTTTATTATTATTGCTAGTGGGGTGGGACTAAGTCCCTTGTACTGCGGCCACTTCTGGCCTATTGTACCAGCCCCAGATGATAGGTGAAGGTGTTTGTGGAGCAATTGGTGGAATGAAGATTGGCAGGGGAAACCGAAGTACTCGGAGAAAACCTGCTCCAGCGCCACTTTGTCCACCACAAATCCCACTTGACCAAGCCCGGGATCGAACCTGGGCCGCTGCGGTGGGAAGCCGCTTGAGCTATGGCGCGGCCCTATAGGACGTTTAGTAAGTAATAGAGCAGGAAGGAGAGGGCACTTTGCGACAAGCCGGAAGGTCGCGCGTTCGATTCCCAATGTGATCATTTGACTTTTCAATTGACCTAATCATTCCAGCCGTACTATGGCCCTGGGGTTGACTCATCCTCGAACAGAAATGAGTACCAGAAATCTTCCTGGAGGTAAATGGTGGTCGGTACGTAGGGCCGACAACCTCACCGCCATCTGTGAGCCGATTGTTTGGAGAAACCGTGGAAGCCTCGACGTCTCACAAACCTGTCGGCTTTCACGGCCATGTTACAGGGATAGCTTTACTTTTCACCTTTAGATCAGGATGGAGGTGAACACAAGCAGTTGTCACTCATGTCAGATAGTGCCCACACGTTTGCCTGGTGGGGCTGAGAAGAATCGCGAAAGGCCTCAGTCAGGATAGCCAGTGTCCGTTCTGAGATTTGAATCCAAAATCTCTCGAATACGGAGCACAAGCTACCGACTCGCCCTTGGCTTCCCATTTGTTTATCTGCGCCAACTGTAATTTGTAATTATAATTGATGACGAATGTCATTAGCATGAAGTATCAAAGAATATTAGGACAATGTAATTTTGCCCATTTCTCTTCAAGCGACACAGTTCCTTCATAACTCGGAGAAGTTTTATGCCCTACTGCATGAAGACTTGTGGGTGCTGCGTCATAATCTGCAGTCTTGAAGGTTTTCGGAAATAATTTACATGAATTCTTATGTCAGAACAAAAATTCAATATAATTCTCATATTACAATCCAAATAAGTGGAAAATACATAATGTTCATAAGAACTGGGCTAGCTCAGTCAGAAAATTGACTACATTCTGGACCATCGGGGTTCGATTCCCAGCAGTGGAAAAGATGTTTACTTCACAGCGTCGAGATCTGCTCTCAGGCCAACCCAATCTTCAGCGGGTACCTGGGGCTCTTTCACCGTCAGTAAATTGGCCGGGACTTGAAGCTGACCACTGACCTCTGTCTAGGGCCGAGGTAAGAATGAATGGACCTATATCTCCACTCCCGCATACCTATTCCTGTCATCGTGCTTAATTAAGCACAGAGACAAACATACGACTTAGGTTACCTCTCTCACAACTTAATGCTGTTTGCTGCTAGCCACTTTCGAATTAATAGGTTTCATATTAAGCAGATTATCGTTTTTCTGTCCCTTTTCTAAGTCTGTGTACAGATATTGTGATAACGGGCCAGTGACGACGTCCTCTGAAAGCCTTTCTGATCCCTGATTCCGAAAAGCTCCGAACCCGAAAACATGAATGGGAATGTCACTTCAACCGCAAAATGCACACCGCGCTGCTGGTCCATTCCTCTTCGTCTACACAGTTACTCGTACATATGAACGCTTCGTGAGGTCCTTACAGAAGACTTCCTGCGAGGCATGTGTGCTACTTCGAGGATGCATTCTTCCGACAGGATGGACGTTTCGGCTGCTTACAGTGACTCCAATTTTGGACCTACTCAAGTGAAAAATTTGGCTTGCATATTATCTCGAATTGTGTCCCTGGACGTCGCGGCTTTGTATGATTTTATCCGCCACATCCTTCCGCTGTCAACATCTCAGATTTATTTCCATGGAAATGCGTGAGATGTGACGTGGACAGAAACAACCCGAACAGAGATAACTACGCAGAGAAAAACATTTAACTTCTTACGAATAGAATTACTGCAGAGTCTTCAGGCAGAGAGCGTTTGCTAATTTTCAGAGTCCACTTCAAATGGTCTTGGATGCTGGTGGGTCACGCACTGAGCGTCTTATCCGTTGATATATCATTCTCTCAAGTCTTCCGTATTGATTAACACCAAAATCTTTTACGTAAAGTTAAACTGTAAAGTTTTCCCTATCGTTAACTAATTAGGCACCACGCCATTTTGACACATCTGTCTTCTTCTGCTTCTATTGCTGTTGCTCCCACTTGGAGCTTTGTTTCACTTCAGTTTCTTAATCTTAGACAGTCGGTATGACTCCTTGGACGGGGGATCAGCCCTCAACAGGCCGCTACCTACACACAGATAGAATA